ACCAATGGATATGGAGTCGGTAGCATATTCCCTAGCAACTCCCGCTCTCGCTACCAGAAATAAAATTCGTAGACAATGTGGTAGCAACATTGCTATGGAACGACATTCCATAGCACGATCCATTGCAGATTAACAACGAAAATACGTTCCATAGAAAAATCATGTTTTTCTTGTAGTGAAGTGAGACTTGTGAGCCTCCTCCATAACCGTCTTTCTGACCCCACCAGACATCGGCACCCATAACCGACTGCATCGGGTCAATAATCCATGGTTATCCTACACAAACTGAGCATTTTTGCTCTTGATCTCTCCAGTTTGCAGCTCTTTGGTCGGATGTCCTCATCCTGAGCATCTTTAATCAAGCTTATGAGTGGAGAATCGACCGATATCCTCATACATAATGCTGGTATGGAAGACCCAACTGACTTGCGGCTTAGAGTGTTTGCCACCACATTCTCTTTACCTGGGTGGTAAAGGATCTCACAGTCGTAGTCCTTGACTACATCTAGCCACCTGCGCTGTCTCATGTTCAAGTTTGACTGATCCATGATGTGTCTTAGGCTCTTGTGATCTGTGTATATGGTGCAGCGGACCCTATAGATGTAATGTCTCTAAATCTTAAGAGTGAATACCATCGCTCCTAACTCTAGATCATGAGTAAGGTATCTCATCTCATGCGGATTCCGTTGTCGCGATGCATAGGCTATCACCCATCCTCTTTGCAAAAGGACCACTCCCAGTCATGCGACGGATGCATCACAGAACACCAAAAAATCATCGACTCCCTCTGGAAGAGTCAATACTGGGGCATCACACAAACGCTATCGGAGGGTCTCAAATGCCCTATGCTGCTCAGGGACCCACCAAAAATCTACCCCTTTCCTTGTTAGACGAGTCAGGGGTACTACAATCTTGGAGAAATCATGTATGAATCTCCGGTAGTACCCTGCCAATCTCAGAAAACTCCTTATGTCTGAGGGAGATTTCGGAACCTCCCACTGCACGACTGCCTCAATTTTGGCCGGTTCGACAAAAATCCCTTCCGGTTTAATGAGATGTCTGAGGAACTAGACCTCTCGTAACCGAACCTCACACTTCAAGAACTTATCATAAAGCCGTTCCCACCTTAGAAATCCCAATAACTCCCACATATGCTCCTCATGTTGCTCTCGGGTCTTGGAATATACCAAGATATTATCTATGAACTCGATGACCGAGCGATCAAGCATCCATCTGCAGACCCGATTCATTAGGTCCATAAACATTGTTGGCACGTTGGTGAGCCCAAATGGCATCACTACAAACTCGTAATGTCCATAACGAGTCAGAAACGCGATCTTCTCCACATCCTCCTCTCTGACCCTGACCTAATGATACCCAAATCTCAAGTCTATCTTGGAAAACCAAGATGCACCCTGTAGCTGGCCAAATAAATCATCTATCTTCGAGAGTGGGTATCAGTTCTTCACTGTTAACTTTTTCAACTCCCGGTAGTCGATTCACATTCGATGTGAACCATCCTTCTTCCTGATGAAGAGTATCGTCGCTCCCCGGGGATAACTCCTCGGACGAATGAACTACTTTCCCATCAGTTCCTGCAACTGTGAAGACAACTCCTCGATCTCTGGTGGTGCCAACCGGTACGATGCCTTGGCGATGGGAGCCGCACCTGGAACTAGCTCAATCCTAAACTTGATCTGCATCTCCTGAAGTATCCCTAGTAACTCCTCTGAGAACACGTCAACAGACTCCCTGGCCACTGGGACCTCTGAGACTGAAATCTAATCCCTGGCTCGCGTGTCCATCATCAACAAAACCCTGATCCCATTCTGGTACCCTCACCATAATGAATCAACTCTCCTCTACTTGGGGTTCGAACCACTACTCGTTGACCCTCACAGTTGATCATGGCGCCGAATTGACTAAGCCGATCCATCCCCACAATCACACACACATCCTCCATGGGGATCGGAATCAATCTATCGGGAAGGACACCCTGAAGATCTCTAACTCACATCCTCGGTAGACTGAAGAAGCAGAAACATCATGTTCGTTGGCGATAGAGACTCGTAACAGACACTCTAGATCTCCTACTAGTACACTGAACTCCCTACTAAATGTCTGAGATACAAATGACCGAATCACCCCCGAGTCAAATAAAACTAATGCAGGTAAGGAGTTCACTAAAATGTACCTAATCACAGGTAAAAATAGATAAGCATAAATCATATAAAGTCCAATAAGATAAGGGATAGAAACATACCAGTAACCACATCTGGTGTTGCCCTTGCCTCCTCTGCGGTGAGCTGGAAGGCATGCCCCTGAGCCTTTGGGGGCTCAACTCTACCTGGCCTCCCGTCCGTAATCCTCAATGTAGCTGGCGCGGGAGCCTGCATCGGCTTAGCGGCAAGAAACAGACAGTTGGCCTTCAAGTGGCCAACCTGATCACAGTGATTACATAACCTCATACTCAGAACTGAGGCGGGATGGCGACAATCCTTTGCATAATTCCTCTCCTTGTCACACTTGTGGCACCCACTACCAGCTCGACAAATCCCAGAATAACCCTTGCCGCTCTTTCCACAAGTGCGGCTCTACTGACCCCGGTCCTAGAATCAGCAATCTTATACCGCTTCAGCACTGGCTGTGACTGTGTCGGGGCCTTTTGCCGCTCCCTCAACTGCAGCTCAATCTCCAACTCATGCCGCCTAGCAGCTTCCTGTAAATCCAGTAGAGTATCATATCGCTGGGTGGCAACAAACTGACGAATGTCAGTCTTGAGCATGCTCAGAGAACATGTCATCTGAGCTTGCTCAGAAGCATACTCCGGGCAGAACATTTCCATCTCCATGAACATGCGGGTGATCTCTGTCACCGACTCCCCATCCTATCTCAAACTCAAAAACTCCTGAGCCAAACGTTCCCGCTCGACCCATGGAATGTAACGAGCACGGAAGATATCCCTGAACCGCTCCCAAGTAACAGCATCTCTCTGATCATCAGTGCACAACCCAGTCATCAATCTCCACAAGTCCATGGCCCCGAGCCTCAGCATGTTCAGGGCACATCTGACCTTCTAGTTAGTAGGACATGAGAATGTGAAGAAACAGCCATCCACGTCAGACAACCACCTCATGGCTCTAATCGGATCATGGGTACCATCAAATGTCAGGGGCTTCGTGCTATCAAAGTCCCGGTACTAGAAGCCCCGAATGGCTCCTCCTCCTCCTGTCGTTGTTACAGTCGATGCAGCTGCAGCGGCAACCATCTCTGCAAGGGCTGCATAACGCTCGTCAAAATACTCAACCATGGAGGTCGTAATAGACCAAAACATCTTCGTTATTTGAGGCCGGAACATAGCAGCAACCTCATCATGTAGGATCTCTCGAATCCTGGCATCTAGCTCATATGTCCCTATCTGCACCACATACTCAGGTGTTGCTGGCCCTTCCTGGCCTCCATCTCCTATTCCTGATCCTGACCTGGATCCAGTCCCAAAACATCTTGTAACCACCATTCTGAAAACATACCAAGAAGATATCAGATAATCTGCATAATAATAGGGGACCAACACCCAACTAAACCCTAGGGGTTGTCACTTCCTTGGTATACGTATGGGTCATGTGCTTTTAGTAGTACATGCCCATACTACCTTCCACACCTACCCATATTTGTCTCAAGTATCACCACAACACCCTAACAATATAAATATGCATGGTGGTCACTTATTCCTCACTCTGAGAGGAAAGATAACTATCCCATAACTGGCCTATTAGCCTCACACAACCCACCCATGAAACTTCCACCAACCCTGCAGCACTCATATATGCTAACCATACATAACGTTGGACCCTATAGACTTTCGAATACATGATTCTACCCTAATCCGTTCATCAAACAAGAATAGGAAATGAGGCCAAACCAAACATTCTTAGGCAATAAGATCTTAATTATGTACAACCGTGATGCATACACAAGCAACTACAGTACCGATGTCAATTTCATATAAGGAAACCATAGGCTATCAGACATCATGCAATCAGGCAATTCTATCATGAAATTCCTGAAGATCCCTAGCATAGTACTAACATGCTATTCTAACATATCACAATATCAAATAACCATATGGTACAATACTAGAAAATAGCCCTTTAATGACACGCAAACAATGACGCGCGCTGATAGAGGACACACATTTGTGTCTGCTGTAAAAAATAATGTCAACTTTGCAAAATGTGAAGGATAGAGGACACACATTTTTGCGTGCCCTAAAATTAATTCGTTTTATATTTTTTTAGGAAGGCGTGTTCTCGCTTTTTTTAATCAACAATGGTGGGAATTGAAATCCCAAAAAATTAAACACCCGCCCCATGCTTCTTCTCCTTTTACAATCCTCTAACAAAGAACCCTAATTCTATTGTGAGGCTGTCAATCCTTTTGAAGTAGCCTGTCTTCCTGTACATTGATCTGCACTCTCTCTCCCTTCTCTTTGCAAGCCTTAAACTGCCATCACTAGCATCGAACCCTATCAACTCTAAGCGGCCAAGGATTCTGTGTAGCGTGTTTGTCTCGTATGTTTTCTTTAGCACCATCAGACACTACTCTTCCCTTTCCAGGATGTCTCCAAGTCTCTGTATGTTTTCATCAGCGCTAGTCGACGAAAAGAACTAGGGCTTTGAACCACATCTCAATAAATTGTTCAGAGAGATCCAACGGCTCCTCTCACTCAAAACACCTTCAATTGAAGGTTATGTGACTCCTTACTCTCCTCATTCTCTCCTCGTCGTTGGCGTATGTCACCCTCCCTCGCTGTCTCCTTCTACTTCTCCCGTGAACATTCTTAAAAGTAACAATAAAGGTATTTGGTTTAGTGTTTTGATTTTTATTCTTCATGTGAATCTATTCCAATCAAAATCTGATTAATATTTAAGTCCTCAATAAAATAATGAAACTATTGTCAATTCTTCCCTCTTTGAATCTATAATCGATTTCTTTATAAGATGGGGGATATATTGGCCGGCGACGGCGAGTCACCGAAGCTTCTGATTCCTGGCAAACGAAACATACTAATTACCAGTGCTCTTCTTCCGTCAACAACGTTCCTCACCTTGGGAATATCATTGGTTGTAAGTACAGTTGCAGGTGTCGGTTGTTTAACTGTATAATTGTGATCGGTTAATACTTAATTGTCAATTGGATTTCTTGTTAATACCTAGGTGTGTTGAGTGTCGATGTGTTTGCTCGGTATTTTCGATTGAGTGGGTATAACGCTATATACATTTGCGGAACTGATGAATATGGAATGGCAACTGAGACCAAAGCTTTGCAAGAAAATTACACTCCCAAAGAAATATGCGATAGGTAATTACCTTTCTATATTTCGTGTTATCTGAATTTTGTAATGAATTTTCACGTAACGATCTCAATTTGAATGTAACATTACAAGGTTTTGATATGAACAGTTGATTTTGGATTCTAAAATTATAGTTCTACTATAAAAACATCGATTGTTATTCTTATCGTTTTATTTTTCTTTCTAGATATCATGCGATTAACAGGGATGTCTATAATAATGGTGTTCTTGCAAGTCTTATTTATGTTGAAGATCAAATAAGAGAAGATGATGCACATGTTATTCAATCTTTTACTAGTCAAGGCATCAATGTATACTTACTTTCTGGTGACAAAAAAATTTCAGTTGAATGTCGCATCAGTAGTCGGAATCCCAAAACAACAGGTAATAAGTATTAATAATAACAACAAAATAATGTTATTCAAGTTCAAAAAAAAAGATTTCATGATGATCTTATTTGTGTAGGTGTTGTATGGAGCTACACCTGATGAGAAAAGTAAATTTATAAGCCAACTCCAGAAGGACAACCAGAATGTTCTTACAACAGAGACAACAATTGTATGCCATGTATGATGTATCTGAAGCCAAGGATTCACCAAACTAGCAAAAAGTCTTGGGAGAAGAATTGCAAAACATTTGACAACTTGTGGTATTACATATTTTGTATCCCTTCAGGAATTAAGAATTAGGAATTCGTTTAAAAGTATATTCAGAATTTTATGCTTACAATGATGCTTTATACCTTTCTTGCCTTTTCCCCCCTTATTTCTCTTTTGCTTGTTTTATTTTTCCCTTTCTTGTTTTTGGTCTAGTTTGAGGCTACAGGATCCATTTGGGCTTGGTTGTCTTGCAAGAATCTTTACGTTGTCATTCAAGTGATCACATTAGTTTTAGTGGAAAGAAATGGATTTGTTTTTATAACTAGAACCATTACATTCAAACATTTTAACCCCAATTTTCAATTTAATTATATAGTTGAAATTTTTGACAAATGGTGGGTAACTGGTAGGTGAGGCTGAAACTGAAGGAGTGCCATCTTATGTAAGAGAAACTATTTTCCTCTGTGGAATGTCCTTGTCACCTATACTTTTTAATATTTCCAATAAGTTTCCTTCATAAGAAGATTTCAAAAATCTATCTTTGAAAAGGTAGGTGAAATTAAGTTGCGTTTTACTTCCATCAAGCAGACAAATGTATACCTTTTTGGCCTCAACCAAAGCTAAAAGTCTTGTGTAATATGTGATAATGACAATTTTACCCTTGTTATCAATGGATGACATGCAATGGTTCTTTAACCATCCTTTTTTGCCTACTATTTGCAGATTCCAAGAAAGAGAGTGCCTTCCAAGTATTTCAAAAAAAAAAAGTGGAAGAAAAGCGTAAGCAGTTAAAAGAAAGTTGTATGTTCTTAGATAACACCCTCATTATAATTTTTAATTATTTACAATAAAAAATCATCTCTAAATGTTTTGGATTAAATATCTTTCTATTAACAGGTAGAGGACTAGTAGTATCTTGGGCTTTGTGTGCTATATGTCTGTGTAGACATGTCTCCCATTTCATTGGAGCCAAAGCTTGGTGGATCCATGCAATGCATTCCATTTCCACTTATATTTATCTTTATTCACATTACTAGTTCAAGGATGCCAGCTTATAATTGATGGAATGAAAAGTCTCATGAGGGGCAATCTAAACATGAACACATTAGTTGGTCTAGGGGTAATATCGTCATTTACCGTTATCACATTCACAGCTTTAATACCCAAACTGGTGATCACTATCACCTTTCGAAAAAAAAATCAAGTCTTGACATTTCTTGAAAGCATGAATCTTGATTTATTTTTTTGTATAGGGTTGGAAAGTGTTCTATGAAGAACCGATTATGTTGATACCATTTGTTTTATTGGGAAGGAATCTTGAACAAAGAGCTAAGATTAAGGCAACTAGTGATATGACAAGGCTTCTTAGTGTTCTTCCACCAAAAGCTCGTTTTTTAGTGGTAGGTGGTGATGTTGAAAAGTCAACCTCAACAGTCGATTTTCCTTGTGATAGTCTTTCTGTTGGAGATAAAATTGTTGTACTACACTACTACTTGGAGTAAGTAAAAGTTATTAATTTTTGTAATATAAAATACTTTTATAAATTTAATTAATTTACAAAATGTTATGTTTATTATTATTCAGGATCATGTTCCTTTTGATGGTATAGTGACAGCTGGCAGAAGCACAGTGGACGAGTCAAGTTTTACCGGGTAAGTTTCGAGAGGTAATGATAGTTTCATTCTCAAAGAATATATAACTAGGTGTAATACCCATGCATTACATGGGTTAATTATAAAAAGTTAATAAAATATTTAAGATCTTTGGATTTATAATAAAATAAGAAAAGTAATGAATTATTAAATTTGATCATTTTTATCTTTTAAATTTAAATACATAAAAATAATAAATTAATGAGTTTTAATTTGAAAATTTTGAAATAAGAAGGTAACTATATTAATGAAATTGATATTAATTTATTACTACATTTATTGTGATCATTACACTTATGTATTATGCAGAATTTATTAAAATATAAAACCTATAAAATGACATGTGGAAAAAAAATTAATTCAAAATAACTATAAAATGATATTTGACAAATTAAATGAGAATGTGATATGTCATTTATTAGAGTAGATTAGTGTAAATTACATTTTTGGTATGGAGTATAGCTGATTTTTGGTATCTAAATATATATAATGTGTGTTGTTTGTAACTGTATGTAGGTTGTTGCTTGTCCATGTGCATTGGGTTTAGCAACACCAACTGTTGTAATGGTAAACCCTTTTGTCCGATATATTTCCTTTCTTTTATTTAAAAGACTAAAATACCTTCGATATTAATATATATTGTGTAGGTGGGAACTTCACTTGGTGCTACAAGAGGATTACTTTTCCGTGGTGGAAGTATTTTAATTAGAAAATTCTCTCAAGTCAACACAATTGTTTTTCACAAAACAGGGACATTAACAATCGGTAAACCTGTTATCACAAAAATACTCACAAGAACACCACAAGAATATTCTGAATTACGGTTATGTTCTAATCTTTTAGTTTGTGTCTAAATTATAATTTTACAAAGTTTAGTATAAACAACTATAATGCAGGCAAAGTTCAATAGAAACATGGTCTGAAAATGATGTTCTGAAGTTAGCTACTGCTGTTGAATCTAATACAATACATCCAATTGGAAAAGCTATTAGGGACGCTGCTAAGGTTGCTAAATGTCCCAATGTAAAGGTACCTTATAAAAATTACTGTTTTGCCCTTACTGAAATGAAATTACTACTTTTTTTTTTTTCTTTTTATAAATATGATTGATTTATTTATTAATGGTATGGAGGCTGATGATGGAACATATATGGAGGAACCTGGTTCCGGTGCCTCAATTGGTAAGAAGATAGTTTATGTTGGGACATTGGAATGGGTAAGAAGGTATAATAAGAAAAAAATGAAAATATTAGGCTGTAAATAATAGGAAGAAATGATGAGTATATATTAGTGGTAAGTTCTTTTTCTTTTTCTTTTTTATATTTTTTAGTGGTTTATATATATTAATATATTATATTTTTATGTTTACACAACAACCATAAGTTGTGAATTCAAGTCATTACTTGTTATCCACGCCCGGACAGCTGCCCAGTACACAAGTACTAGGTGGCAAACCAATGATATGAAGGATTTTTTTTTTGACATGATATCTGGAACAAGAAGGTGCCCCTTAATAGCAATATAGTATTAGGTTGTATAGTTAGGGGAAACCTTTTAATAACAGTGTACAATCAGACGCTTTAATATCAATGTATTATAACTTTTTGACATGATGTTATTGGATGGAATTGATTGTTCTAGTATATATATTTTTCTATATTTTTGTATTATGCGTAAAAGAGTATCGTGAAGGCACATCGTATATGCATATTGAAAATAGTTGCTGATGATTATGACACGCAAATGTGTGTCATCTTCATTTATGACAGGGGATTTAATGATACGTAATGCGTGTCCTAAACGTGCGTCATAAGGTGACGACACGCAAATGCGTGTCATCTTCTTTTATGACAGGGCCTTTATTGATACGCATTGAGCGTCGTAAATGCATGTCGTAACTACACGTCGTAGTTACGCGTCGTCTATAGACGATGCGCAAAAGCGTGTCGTCTCTTGTTATGACATTCCTTGACATGCATTTGTGCGTCGTCTGAGCATTTTACGACACGCATTGCATGTTGTAAAAGACTGTTTTTTCTAGTAGTAGTATTTTGAGGCCTACTTATTGGCTCCGGCTGATCGTACACCTTGCATCCTCCTTTGATATTTTGAAAACTTTTTTAAAAATCGTTTGAAAATCTTTTCCTCGCTTTGAGACTAGATTCACACAGGTGTTCCTCGAATTCACTCAAACCAAGGCTATGATACCAACTTATAACACCCATAAAAAATCATGCCAAATTTAAACTTTTTCAAAACATTTCAAACCAGTCATTATTAAACTTGTTTTCAAAATAGTATAATATCAGAGTATCCCAGAAACAAGTCATAAACATGAGAAGCTGTAAGATCACGCATTTGCCTTCCCGTGATCATCTAATGTACCTGAAACAAAAACTGAGACTATAAGCCCGAAGCTTAATGAGTTCCCCTAAAATACTGATACACTGCACATAACACATATACAACTAACAACATGTACTGGGTCCACAACTTTACAGATTAGATTGCCCATGGGCCCACAATGTGAGTTTGCATTGCCTTTCGGGCCCACAACTAACATCTGGATTGCCACTGAGCCCACAGTACAAGTTTAGTCTGCCCTATCCAGCCCTCAGCTCGTAATCTGGAATGCACCCAAGCCATAGTACGAATCTGGCATGCCTCGCCCGACCCTCATCTCGTATCTGGAACGCTCCCAAGTCCTCAGTATGAGTCTGGCATGCCCCACCCGATCATCAGCTCATATCTGGAATACTCTAGGGTTTGTTGGTTACCGCACGAAGTAGTATAACCTCAACCCATCCTACATAATATGTCGACATATAACACAACTAATGCGCATACAAATAATCACATAACAATACAGGTAGTCCTATAGATCTACTTAACTGGCATAGCAACTAGCATGCAACACTAACTCAAACTCAACATACTACCTACTTCTAGGATAACATATCCAATAGGGGGACATTGGTACCTTCGACCCCTTAGTATAGTGAGGATAACTCACGTCTCAACCGTAGAATCAAGAGATAACTTGATATGGCCGTATTTATACTTACTTTTAGGCAATATTTAAGTACATTTTTGTTAATAAATTGATAATATGTTTAGAATAATGATACTTATGAGTTTAAATTGTTATTTTCAGCTAATATAAAGGATTTTCGAAGAGAGGGACCAAAGGTGACAAAATGGGGAACATGGGAGGCTTGAAAGACAAGAAAATAGTAGATTCACGATAAGTGCTCAATTCACGATGTGGTGATGAAGCCCACAACGTGGCACGGGTGTTCCAGTAGATAAACATCGCGACGCAGAGGATTTTCTTGGAGGATACGTATTGCTTGAAGTCCACGACGTGGCACGCCTCTGGCCACGACGTGGCGCGTTTTTTTAGGATTATATAAGTCCTCCTGATTATTACGAAAAGGGAGTTCTTAGGCAGAAGAAAAAAAGTTCCAGGAGACGTTTCAGAGAAAAAGAAAGGTCTTGGAAGAGGGATTTCAACACCAAAAGAAGTAAAGTTTTATATTTTAGTTAATTATGAACATGTCTTCCATTAGTTTTGGCTTTGTTAGTTTAATTACTATGATGAGCAGCTGAATCTAGCTACTCTTGCTTAGCTAGATGAAGCTTTGAACTTATGAATAGTTATATGTTTATGGATTAATATGAGTTGGTAAAAAGTGCTTGTGTTTGATTTGTATGACCTAGCATGTTATTCTTTGTTTATCTAATTGCGTGATTGCATGTTCTGTGTAGCTTAGTGACCATGAAACTGCATGAACCTGTTTACCTAATAATTTAGTGAACATTGAATTGTTAGAGCTAGGATTGACCAATATTAGTTAGTAATTAGACTGAATAAATCTTAGCTGTGCTAGAGAACGTGAATTGTGACCATAATTGCGTTTATACAACAAATCTTACATAGCATATTTACATTCATAATTAGTTCTGTGTTTAATTATGTGTGAACATACATGATTTGACATGAACTAGCTACTTATTAGTAAGATAGAACTAAATTACTAATATAACTAAAAAAACCAACTTAATAATCCATGACCATTAGCTATCCATGAGGGAGAAGTGGATTCAACTAAGCAAGAGAGTGTTTTTATTTATTGAATTTGATTTAAGTTCACCTGATCTTGTAAACCAGATAAAAACCCTTATTAAACTTGTTAATAAATTAGGTTAATTTAATAGTAAGTAAATTAATTAGAACACCGTTCCCTGTGATCGACACCCGACTTACCTAAGCTATACTGTAATCTGACTAGGTACACTGCCTATAAGTGCATAGTTAGTCTAAGTTTGTTAGGTTATAAATATTAAAATTAGTGGGTACTTTTGTGCACATCAAGTTTTTGGCGCCGTTGTCGGGGAACGGCTTAGTTTTTAGCTTATTTATTTGCATAAAATTAATCGATCCTTCTTGTGGAGTCAAAACCACAAAAAGTTAATTTTTCAGCAAAATAAAAATTTTCTGTTAATCACAGAATCCACGACGTGGATAGTTAGATTTTTTTTTTAGTTTGTAGTTAGTTTTTCTTATTTTAGTTCAGTTTTACGTTTTTAGTTTAGCAAGTTGCAGGAGTTCATGACCAGAAGCTCAAACACACACTTGGTGCCACCACTTGAAGATCCCGAGTCTGCACTTCGCAAGAAGAAGATGCTGTAGCGTCTGGTTTCCGGTATGTGAATTTTATTTGAGCATTGCCCTAATTTAACCTTGGACTCGGCGAGTCATAGGGTCCGACTCGCCGAGTAGGGACGAGACTCAGGGCACGTTTTAAGTAGGAGACTCGGCGAGTCCACATCCTGGACTCGGCGAGTCACCGCTGCTGGATGAAACCCTAAGTTTCAAGGGTTTGCACCCTATTTAAACTCTCATTCCGCCCCAACTCGTCCCCATTCACCCCCAGAACTCCCCCTACATCGTTTTCCCTTGTTTCCTTGAGAGTTTGAGGTGTTCTTGGTGTGTTCTTGAAGGTTTTGAGGAGTAAGAGGAGTAGATCAAGAAGAGGAGAAGGAGATCAGCCATCTTTGTGTCATTTCAACATTTCCTTTGAGGTATAACCCGTTTTCCCCTTGATTCTATGCTTAAAACTTCATTTGGGTCCTTCTTGGTCAATTCCCCAAGTTTGTATGTGCATTATATGTCGTAATAAGGCGTTTGGCCTTTGGATCTATGCAAGATTGAGCTCCAGGAGCTCAGATCTGTTAGCTTTTTGGCCCTATGAGGCTTGTTAGCCCTAGATCTACCCTTTTGAGACATTTTGAGCCCTATAATCCATATTGGTGAATATCCACACGTAAAGTTGGAAACTTTACGTGTGATTCGTGTCCTAGAAGTCCAGATCTATGAATGGCATGGACTGGAATCGAGCAAATCGGTATATTTAAGGAGTGCATGGCGACGACTCGGCGAGTCGCATAGGTGACTCGGCGAGTCTGGTCGCGAGTCACCGATTTGGTCCCTTTTCATGTGTCGAGTTGAGCCATGAGTCACAGGGGGTGACTCGGTGAGTTGGGAGCTGAACTCACCCATGTTAGGACTCGGCGAGTCAATGCCCTGACTCGGCGAGTCCAAGGCAATCTTCATAGATCAAGAACAGACTCGGCGAGTTGTTCATACAACTCGGCGAGTCTTAGCATAAAGTGTTCATCGGATGAAGATGAACTCGACGAGTTGTTCATACAACTCGGCGAGTAGGATGAAGGAGTTGAATGACAGTTAGAAGGTGAACTCGTCGAGTCATAGCCCGACTCGACGAGTAGAACCAGGGACCCAGGACATTGGTTTGCTAGGGACTCGGCGAGTGGTGATCCACTCGGCGAGTCGGGTCAACTGAAAGTTGACCCTAGCATTGGCTTAGAGCTAAACCAGGGGTAAAATGGTCATTTTACCTAAAGGACAGTTAGCAGTGTTTGATTGAGTATGTTGTGGGAATTGCAGCCGGAGGACTCCCGGACAGCAGCAGTCAGTTAGTTCCCGATCAGTTCAGCAGCTACTTTGAGGTGAGTTACCTTCCAGTAGCAGTGGGTCTAAGGCCACAATGCCGACCCACCAGTAGGAGTGTATGATAGATGATTGTCTTTGTGATATCATCTAAGTTTGCTATTATCTAACATGTTATATGCTAGCATGATATGTTGTGTGTGATAGTAGTAGAGTTTGGTTGTTAGGACCGAAGGGTAGTCAGACACCCCAGATACGTCTGACAGTATGTGATGATATGTATGCATGCT